GGTGCCCTCTAGCCCTCTAGCCCTCTAGCCCTGTAGCCCTATAGCCCTGTAGCCCTATAGCCTTATAGCCTTATAGCCCCATAGCCCCATAGCCCTGTAGCCTATAGCCCTACAGCCCTAGCCCTATTGCCCCATAGCCCAACAGCCCAACAGCCCTGTAGCACTCTAGCCCTTTAGCCCTATAGCCTCACAGCCCCGTAGCCCTGTAGCCCTATAGTCCCACAGCCCCAAGAACATATTCTGATTGGGTTTCTCTCCGGTATCATTTCTTATTTGAGCTCCCAAGCTCTTCCAGCTCATCCTTTCCTTCATTATTTCCATCCTGTTCTCTGCCCCCCCCGCCTCCGCAGACATATTGACTCAAGCCATTCGGCGGACTGTGCCTGCTCATCCGGCATCCCGTCCGTCAGTCACGTCACATTGAATGCTCCTGGAGGCAGCATTCGTCCCGATTCCTGGCGTCGTGACGGCCTATGTCTCAAGCGTCGCACCCACCGCGCCTTCTTTCGTTGTTTTTGTTGTCATTGTGCCGTGGACCTCGCTGGACAAGCCGGCCAATGTGCTGGCCCCCAGGGCAGATCGTGAAGATTGACGTGAGAGCATCACCAAGCGTCCTACCGCGCGGAGTAGGTCCTCGATGCGAGCATGCATCATACGGAAATCTTTGGCATCCATTCCGTTGTTCGCTCCAGATCTGTCACGGATGGGAAGGCGGGCCTTGTTCCAGAGGTCGCAAAAGGCAAAGTCGGCCTCCCATGCGTCCCCTGTAGGGCCAGGTCTGCCACGCGGGTATGACAGTACCCTGGGCTCGTGGACCACTATGAGCATGACTGCCAGGAGGTTCGTGCCCTGGAAGGTGTTGAGTGGTTTCTTGTCGGGCCCCAGCAGACTGATGCGCAGGTCTTCACACCCAGCGGCCGGCTTGCCGAAGATGGCCTTGAGGTGTTTTGCGCTAGGCTGCCCGGTGTGTCGCTGACATCGGCAGGTGGTGTGGCTCCAGCAGGCTGGGAGTTGCTGCGGGGTGCCAGTGATGACGGAGTCCTCCCTCCGCCGCCACCCGCGCGCAGCTCCTGGTCGCGCGGGCTCGGGGGGGAGCTCGTCCTCCCGTGCCTGCTTCCTCCTGCGTGTCTGTTCGTTGCAGGCCAGCCAGGTGCATCAGTGCGGCCCAGGTGGCTGTGTACACGTTGTTCGTGGGGTCCAGGGCGAGCTTCAGGTCGTACAGGAAGCCGTCGTGACCGAGGAGCTTCTTGCAGTGCTCCGCCAGGTCCTGGGGCACGTCGCCGGGGCCGTACATGTGTGGGTGGAGGCTCATGACATAGAAGAGCGACTCCGACAGGGGGGTATTTTTTGCCAGCGGATGCCAGATCATTGAGGACCAGCGCGATCACCATCCCGAAGGGGACTGATGCCTGTTTTCGCACCTCTGGGTGACCGCTGGCTGGAACAGACGAACCAGGTCGGGCAGTGCAATGTCATGCGCAAGTATGCGAATCACCAGCACGTGATGTTGGAGGTCGGGGCCGTACATGTGTGGGTGGAAGCTCATGGCATAGAAGAGGGACTCCGACAAAGGGGGGGTATTTTTTCCAGCTGGTGCCAGATCATTGAGGACCAGCGCGATCACCATCCCGAAGGGGGCTGATGCCTGTTTTCGCACCTCTGGGTGACCGCTGGCTGGAACAGACGAATCAGGTCAGGCAGTGCAAGGTCATGCGCAAGTATGCGAATCACCAGCACGTGATGTTGGTGGTCAACAGGCATCAGTAGAACTTCGTAACCAAGGCCCACAATAAGCGCAGCGTCACCTATGCCAAGGATGTGTAGCGTATCCACCAGGAGTTTAACCTCCTGACGCACACGCTCGACCACCCGCATGTCGTACGCTGCGTAAGCATGCTGCGCAGCCAGTACCGCGTGTGCCTGGTGCTCCAGTATAATGGCGACGTGTGCATGGAACAGTTGCTTTCGGCTCAACCTGGCTGCCGCTTGGCCCTGGACGACGCCTTGAACTGCTTTACCCAGGTCGCGAGTGGTCCGTCGCATTGCCATGCAAAGGATGTCACCCTCGGGCAGGTGTCGTTTACCACGCGTGTCGGATAAGTTAGCGCGGCCACATCACATCTGCGGCGTGGTGGACTTAAGCATGCCAGCCCGCGTTCCAGACTTACGCACGCGCGCGATCCTGTGCGGCAGTCTGCAGTGTATCGCTCCCGAGACAGTGTTGGAGGAACCATGCCTGCCCAAGCTGTCAGATTGCTGGAGTCTGGGGGTGGTGCTTTTGGACACCGCCTGCGGGAAAGGCTCGTTCCAGCTGTCGGTGCGGTGTCGCTGTTGTGCACCCCCCGCGCAGCCCGCACGGCAGATCATCGAGTTCTTCGCCGAACCATGCTGCCGCGCCCAGGCGATGACGCGGCTGGGCAACGTCGTCGACGATACGACCCTGGCTTGCTTAGAGGCGCTGCTGAAGCCTGAGCCGCTTCGCCGAGCGAGTGCATTCGACGCGATCGGGTCGCTCTCCAGCGTGCACGCGCGAGGCGCTTGCTTGTCGGGGTCCCAGAGCATTCCAGTGGACACATCCTCTGGAGATAGGAGGTTTGCGGCCTGGCTTGTGGGCATTCCCAGCCCCCAAACGGTTTAGTGACACATCGTCTGGTGAGGGTTTTCTGCTTGTGTACGTCGTTAGGCAGTCTGCCACCAGACGACTGGGTCCAGCCTGCGCGCTTGATGTTGAACAAGCTGCCTTCGTCAACCGCCCCAATGGGGCCGGAGCATGTGGGATCGGAGGATATCGCCGCATCCGCCGGTGCATCGGCGACGCGGCGCCGCTTGGAATCCGATGTTTTCCAATCTCGATGCCCCCAGCGCATGGACGATGCATCGGCGATGCGGCGCGATCCTCCGACCCCGTCTACCCCGACCCCATTTGGGAAACCTACAGTCTGGGCCTGGAGGACTACGCGCTTGAATCGACCAGTCCCCGCCCCCTACCTAACCACGGAGAGGCTGTCGCCGACTCTTCTCGCGGCGCGGCCGCGATCTCGAAGGGCGGCCAGGAGGGGCAGCTCTTCGGGCGCCATTCGGAATGTGGCGATGTACTCCTGCTCTATTTTGGCGGCCTCCAGTTCTGCGTCTTCTGGCAGTGGGTGCAGGCCGACGATGCAGATCGCCGCGGCGGCCAGCAGCAGAACGCAGCGACGCTGCAGAGCGCCGAAGCATCGTTAAAGCACAGCTTCGGAGGGCCTCTGCTGTGGAGCGGGCCAGACGGGTCGGTGGCGACATCCGAACCCTGCTCTCGCCGGTCAGCGCTTCGGGCAACTCGATGGGCGGTGGCGGCAGGGTTCGGACTTCGTGGAACCAGATGCGAAGTCCGAACCCCACCTCTTCGCTTCCCATCGAGTCGGGAAATTCGGTGGTTGGCAGAGGCAGGGCTCGGATGTCGCCGCCCAGGGAGGTCACTCCGCCCGCATGCAGCGGCCGCCTGCGCTGAGGCGACTGGGGCTCCGTGCCCGCTCAGGGGGGGAAGAGCGGCCGAGGGGGGCGATGCGACCGACGGGAGCGGGACGAGGAGGGCGAGAGATGGCGGAGGGCTCGGGGAGCGCGCGGCTCCGTGGCCTGCCCGCACGGCGCCGCCTGCCTCGTCGGGCCACTCCACCCGCGTGCCCTCCGGGTGGGCTCGCGCCGCGCGGGCGCGGCGGCGACCCCGGCGCGGGCTCTCGGGGTGGAACGCCCCTGGTGGCCCGGAAGCGACCGCCATGGAGCAGCCTGGGCTGTCAGAGTGCGCGGTCGGTCGAGGTGGAGCGGTCCACGCGGGGTCAGAAGCTGCAGCGCCGGCGGAGTAGCGACACGAATCTGCCAGCCTCGGCCGTATCTTTTGTAGCTGGCGTCCTGACGGCTCGTGCTGTCTTTTGTGGCCGACCGCTCCGAATCGTATCCTTTCTCCTGCCTCATCCGTTTCATTCAACGCAGATCGAGGGCAGGAACATGGTCATAACGTAGATACTGGACATCCTTCGTATCTGTTTCAATGCAAAGCATATGTCTCAATGTACTGTATCTTTTATCTTCAATGCAACAAATCTCAGGGCATCGCAAGTCTTTCTGGGGCCAACCCGCGCGCTGGACATGAGACGTCCAGCAGTATACCATTCATCATGTTATGGACAGATTTCCCGCATACCTTGGTTTATACAGGTGCGCCCCCCAGCAGAGGATTTGTTCTTTCTCCGATGGCTTTGTTTGTGCAAGGTTTGCTTCTTGTCTGAAGAGAACTCCCCGTTCAATCCGCCTGTCTGCTGCCCGAGTCAGTAGGCTTTCCGAGTGTGGATTGACGCGCGCCCAGGGAGGCGTGGCGCCCCGGCGCCACCCCGAGGCGCTCTGCTGACCGCTTTGCTGGTGGGAAGCTGGGAGGGGAACCAGGACAGGAACCATGGGGGTTGCAATATGTTGGAAGTGGTGTGGAACGATTCGGAGAACTTTGGCATCATCGGCCAGCCGAAACAATCAGGAAATCTAATAGCACGATGCGGACCACCACGATTATAAAAGGCCAGGGAGAGCGACATGACCCCCACGATGAGGAGCGGGAAAGCATGCGACGCCGTGATGTCAGCTACCATCTTCCACATCACGAATACAGTGAACGCCCCTTGGTAGGAAGCCACTTCCAATACAAAGAAGCCCTCAGCGACACACAGCATCAGGCAGCCCCTCTCGAAGAGACCAGCACTGGGAAATAGATAATTCATCATAGCCATCAAGAGGGCCCCACGAGGGCCCCATGTCGACTGAAGCCCCCCAAGACGGTCCAAGAGGCTCCGATGACTGTCCACGAGCCTCCCAAGTGGCCGTCCGAGGTGGCCAGAGGAGGCCAAAAACCTGACATTTCCGTTGGGTTTCCATTGTCTTTCGGGTCCTCGCCTTTTCGTGCGCAGATCGGTCGAAGCCGGCTCTGAGGGCCTCCGAGGCTGCTCCAAGACAGCCCCACGGGCTTCCAAGAGAGCCCCAAGACGGCCAAAGATGACCCCAGGACGGCCACAGGCAACCGCAAGACGGCTCAAGTGGGGTCCACGAAGGCCCCCAAAGGCCCCCATGAGAGTTCCAAGAGTGCCGTCGGAGGCTCCCAGGAAGGCCGAAGATAACCCCAAGAGGGCCCCAAGACGGGCCAAGCCCCCCGAGACGGCTCAAGAGATCCCCAGACCGGCCCAAGGGAACCCCAAGACAACCAACAGAGCCTCCAGAGGAGCTTCCCCCGACGGCCCAATGACGGACGCAGCTTTGACGCCAAGGATCCCAAAAGCACCAGGTGACCCGAACATGTTTTGCACATGAGTCGGTGACGTAAACATGTTTGAACGCCAAGGGTCCCAAGATCGAGCAGTGGGCCAGAAAGTTTCGAACGCCCAGGCTTCCAAGGACCAACGGTGTTATTGAACAGCTATTACGCCATGGCTCCCAAGAGCGAACGGTTAGGTAAACAGCTCTTAATTCCAAGGCTCTCATGAATAAGCGGTTACGTACACAACTCTTCACACCAAGGCTCCCAAGAGCGAGCGGTGACTTAACAAGTTCTTAACGCTTTGGCTCTCAAGAGCCAACGTTGACATGAACAGTTCTGAACGCCAAGGCTCCCAAGATCGAGTGGTTATGTATACCAGGGCTGGCCCTAAACGGTTTTTTTGCGATTTCGTGGGCCGTTTTCGTTTCGACTTCGTTTTGCGGTAGAGGTGGATTGAAGACAAAACGAGGGAAAACGAAAACAAAACGAAAACGAAAATGTCCGCTTAGGTTCAGCCCTGATGTATACGACTCTTCACATCAAGGCTTCCAATATCCATCGGTGACGTGAACATCCTCTTACCGCCAAGGCCCCCGAGAGCAAGGGCGAACGGTGCCATGAACTTTCTCGGGCGAGCTCCCCAAGCGCTCTTTCCGTTTCCGTGCCGACTCAGGTTTTGACACGCCCACTGAGTGCAGGCGCAGTGGCAGATTAGGGTCTCCTAGTATGCATCTCGGGGGCCTCTTGGAGGGCTGTCGGCGACGTCATGCGGCGTTTTTGCACCCAGAGGGCACTTGGCGAATGGAGGCGTCTGGCTCGCTGTTCCACGGATTGGCTGGCACTGTCTTCTGCTTTCGTCGAGTGGGCAGCTGAGGCGAAGTTCGACGAGTGAGGGTCTCGCCCCGGGCCCTGCCCCTCGCGGGCCATTCTGACAGGACTTGAACCTTGAACCTTGAACCCTTGGGCGCGTCTTGGGCATCATACCCGATTCGATCTGATGCTTCCACGGTCCGATGTGTCGCAGGCCTAGAGATTGACACCAACACCAATTTCGGCGGTGTGCGTCCACCGAGGGAAGGAGATCCCAATTTCGGTGATGGTGGTCATATTCTGGCTTCCAAGGTGACCGAAATATTACCACCAACACCGAAATCTAGGATCATCTTCCCCCTGTGGAGGCAACCCCCTGTTTCGGTGTTGGTGCGCATTTCTAGGCCTCCAAATGTGGCCCGATTACTGCATGGCTTTGGCTGTGCGCCCTCTGCGCAGCCAGCCCGCTTCTCGACTCCGACGCCGTGCCGCTGCGGCCCGATCTCGACGCGCGCTCCGATCCGACCCGACCTCCCGATGTGACGCCGACGGATCCCTGGGTGCTGCGCTTCCTCCTCCTCCTCCTCCTCCTCCTCCTCCTCCTCCTCCTCCTCCTCCCCCTCCTCCTCCCCCTCCTCCTCCTCCTCCCCCTCCTCCTCCCCCTCCTCCTCCTCCTCCTCCCCTCCTCCTCCTCCTCCTCCTCCTCCTCCCCCTCCTCCTCCTCCTCCTCCTCCTCCTCCTCGCCGGAGAAAAAAGACACCCCCGCTGGAGCGGTGCCGAGGCCCAGGAGAGCCCCGCGCGCACGACCGCCGCCTCGGGCGCGGCGCCGTCGTCCTCGTCCTCCCCCTCTGCGCGTCCCCCCCCCCCGCCGGGGGCAGGTCGGGGTCGTGGCCGAGGTCGGCCTGCTCGGCCTCGCCCGCATCGGCCACAACAAGCTCGTGCAGGCCGCCATCGCAGGCCTGGGAGGTTGACACCAACACCAACATCGGCGGTGTGCCTCCACCGAGGGAATCGGGCTGGGCGAAAGGGGGGGATTGGGAAAGGGGGGGCGCCGGGAAAATCAGCTACGTGAGCTGATTCTCTACCCTGCCCTTTGCTATCCCCCCCTTTCGCCCGACCCGAGGGAAGAATATTCCGATCTCGGTGATGGTGGTGATGTTCTGGCTTTCGAGGTGGCCGAAACATATTACCACCAACGCCGAGATCTGGGATAGTCTTCCCCCTGTGGAGGCAGCCCCCTGTGTTGGTGTTGGTGCCCGTTTCCAGGCCTCCAGCGCCACACCGCCCGCCGCGCCCCGGGGTCGGCCCGCGCGGGGCGTGCCACGTTCCGTGGCAACGTTGGGGGGTGGGGGGCTTCTCAGAAGGCTCGGAAGGTCTCGTCTGAGAGTTCTCTGAGCCTTTTTCCGAAGACGCAGAACACTTGGGGGGGGCGGGGGGTGGCCTTCTCAGACGGCTCGGAAGGTCTCTTCTGAGAGTTCTCTGGGCCTTTTCCGAAGACGCAGAACACTTGGGGGGGGCGGGGGGGGGGCCTTCTCAGACGGCTCGGAGGTCTCTTCTGAGAGTTCTCTGCCTTTTTCCGAAGACGCAGAACACTTGGGGGGGGCGGGGGGGGGGGGCATTCTCAGACGGCTCGGAAGGTCTCTTCTGAGAGTTCTCTGGGCCTTTTCCGAAGACGCAGAACACTTGGGGGGGGCGGGGGGGGGCCTTCTCAGACGGCTCGGAAGGTCTCTTCTGAGAATTCTCTGAGCCTTTTCCGAAGACGCAGAACACTTGGGGGGGGCGGGGGGGGGCCTTCTCAGACGGCTCGGAAGGTCTCTTCTGAGAGTTCTCTGGGCCTTTTTCCGAAGACGCAGAACACCTCTCAGTAATTGGGCCGGGTGGCTTCTGAGAGGCCCCGCCGCCTTCTGAGGAGGCCCGCCCCCTCTCGTTTCCCTCCTGGGCTCGCCGCCGATCAGTGAGGGGAGGCTCAATGGGGGGAGGCTCGAGGGGTGAAGCACGCTAGCCTTTTTTTGGTGCGGTGCCCCCCCTGGGTTTTCGGAGGTTTTCAATACCTGTGGGGGTCCCTTGAGCTGCGCCTCGTCGAGAGATTTCCAGGGGCGCGTGGATCATCCCGAACGGCCGCCGGAGGCCCGAGTTATGGCCCTGGAGCCCCCAGCGGCAACGTAGGGGGGGATAGTCTCAGGGGGCGATGCGTCGACCCCCAATCGGCCATTCATTGCCGACAAGGGGCCCGGTAGTCCACCCCGCCCAGGAACGTGAGGGTTCGCTCTCGGGGGCCCATCGCCAGTCCATCGGCGATGTATAACCGATGCATGCTCGATGTTTCCCGCCCCAGAGCTGATCCGCCCCTAGCGTTGCTCCTCACACGTGGCCTGGGAAGGCCGTGGCCTGGCAGCTTGCTGGGGTTCTGGTGGCCCAGCACCCGATACGGCCAGCAGAGATCCGGGGGTCCGAAGGGTTGGTTTTGGGTCGTTTTCGGCTTCTGGGAGCCCTCATCGGGCCCCGCGACGGCCAAAGAACGACTCAGGACGAAACATCGGCTCTGCGGAAGTTGTCCAGACCTCCAGTGGCCCACGCATCGAAACAATTGGAGCGCTAGACGTCATGGGCCAGTTCGGGCCATCAGAAAGGGAGGTGAAAGGGGCCCCCTCTTCGCGGACGACTTGTGCGCACCGTACCGCGTTGGAGTCTCCCGAGGCGCCGTCGATTCGACACAGGACTAGTACGGGGCCTCTGTGGGCCTCTTGGGGGCCTCTTGGTCTTCGTGAACCGTCTTGGGGACCTCACTGGGCCACTGGGCCGTCTTAGGGCCCTCTTGGGACGCTTTCGGGCAGTCTTGGAGGTCTCTGGGGCCGTCTTGGGGCCCTCTTGGAACGCTTTCGAACTTTCTTGGGAGGCCTTTTGGGCCGTCTTGGGACCCTCTTGGGGCTGTCTTGGGGCCCTCTTGGTCCGTCTTGGGGCCCTCTTGGGCCGTCTTGGGACTATCTTGGAGGCCTCTTGCGTCTTGGGCCGTCTTTAGAGCTTCGGGAGCCGCCTTGAGGTGATCTTTGGCAGTCTTGGGTGTCATGTCGTGCCATCTTAGAGCCATCTGAGACCCGCTTGGGACCATCTTGGCCATCTTGTGGGCGTCGTGGGACCGTCTGACAAGCCATCTTGGAGGCATCTTGGAGCCATCTTGGACGTGAAAGCCAACGGGTATGCAGCCGACTGGATGAGCCGAGACAGGGCCAAACAGTGCAAGACCTTGCACGCCAAGCACCCCTTCACAAACAACAGAGAGAGGCGGCGGTTCTTGTGGCCTTCGGCCCATCCTGCCACCGTGCCTTGGTCGTGGACAAGAGGCCTCGTGGTTTCTCTCGCGATGCCTCTCGGGGTTGTCTTGGAGGCCTCTTGGGGGCCTCTTGCAGGTCTCTTGGGGCCTCGTGGAGGGCTATTGATGGCCACTGGGAGCTTCGTGGGGGGCCTCTTTTGAAGAAAAGGGCTCAACATGTAAGTTCGAGTTCCCCCGCATGGGCCCCAGATGAGGTCGTGTTCGGGGCATTCGGTTTTTTTTGGTGCCTCGGGGGTCGACTCGGAGCGATCTTTGGGGCCTCTTAGGCTGGCTTGGGCACCCTTAGTATCGAACAACTGACGTTGCCACCATCATGCAACACCGGACTGCTTTTCAATGGCTTTGGCCTCTTGGGCTGGTCACCCAGGGCCTCCAAAGCGGCTCGAGATGCGCATACGAGGTCTCAAGGATTGGCCCTGATACCGTCTTAGGCCCTGTGGTGTACGGATGGCCTACAGCACGGTGGCGGGTATTGAAGTTTCTACGAGACCTGAGGCCACTCCTCCCAGTGCCTTGCAGCACAGAGGCGGACTCATCTGTATTGCATGTTGCCCCGACTCTTGATGCATGGCCCGTGTTGCGTGACGCGTTAGAGGCGAGCCGCCAGGTTCTTGGTGAAAAGGCGATGGCACGCCAAACGTCATTCAGATGCCGTGCAGCATCACGGGGTGTCAAGGGAAGCTAGAGGCTCGCCGGCGTGGAAAGTTGCACGCGAAGAGGCCAACACATGCCCACCTGCTACGTACTGACATTCGGAACGGAGCGTGCCAGTCCCCATCCATTGGCAATATCGAATGTAGCGGTGCTGCAGCGAGTTGCCTCATTGATCTGTCCACCGAGAGGCAAGTTCTTGTTGGCACCATGGGCACGCACATGCGCTGCTGTCGCAGCGCCTTCGAGGCTGAAGCTGTGGCGCTCGACGAAGGCTCAGAGGCGTTCCTGTCGTTTGCAGGTAGACATTATCATCCCCCTTCCTCTCCTGTTTTCTCCTGCCACTTGGCATGCCAGTTTCCGGGGTAGCGTTGTAGCATCATCTTCCTTTAACGTGCACCTCATGAGGCTTGGCACGAGTGCAACGAAAGAAGAACATCGAATGCAGAGAGGTGTCCTTCGGTCCAATTCCGAGGGGCTCGCTCGATTGCCCAGGGCGCTGGTGCGTATCCCGTTTTTCTCGAGCGGCGCACTCCGCTGCCTCTGGCCCCGTGGCCCGTGGCGGCCGAGCCAGTCATGGTGCAGGAGGGGAAAAAACGCAGACACAATTCATCGTCGATGCCCAGGAAAATATAGGAAAATATGGGAAGTGGGGGGGGAGACAAAAATCCAGAAACTATGGGGAAATATAGGGAATCCGGTTATTTGTGTCTACTATTTATTTGTGTGTTTGTGGGCCCGTTTCAGCTCATCCGCTCTGAGCACCTGGCATCCGTATAGTGCAATCCCCTCGCAGTCCCCTTGGGGCCGCACGTGCACCTCCTAAGCCTGGGTCCAAGGGGCGGGGGGATGGTTATCCCGTCCAGAGCAGTGGCGTCGGCTGTTTCGGCACACTGCCACCCTGGATTTGCGGTCCTGACCTGCCCCCGGGCACTGACAGCGTCCGTCGAGTACGTGAGCCTGCCTCTGGCCCATCCCGAATTTCTTCACGTTCTGAGGGTGCGCTGGCCGTCCCGCGGCCCGGCCCCCCTTTTCTCCCGCCTTCCCCTTGTACCCAGTTCGCGACGGACGTGCCCCGCTAGCTCGACCGCCTGCTGGATCCAGCTCTCCGCTGATGGAAAGAAATCTGCTTCGACACACGGTAAGTCTCGCAGGACCGTTATCCCACGCACTTGGTTCTTCATAGCATGCCCGTTGTGCTGCAGACCAGGACTTGGACTGGCACCTCGGACCTGGCTTCGTGAGGCGGGGCGGGGAGCATGAAGACAAGGATAAGGTGATGGGAAGAGGCTGTAATGGAAAGTTATAGTTAGTCTGATTGGTGACCTGAGGGGCGGGGGCGATTGTGGACGTGAGAGCTGTCGAAGGCGGACCGAAAGCGTGAGGGGCGCTGCATCCAGCGTAGCAGACATGGACCTCGTGCAGTGTAATTTTTTACTTTGGTGTCTGCGACTCAGACATTGTTTTTTGCTGTTGATGCTCACCCCTCACTTACAATTCTCACACCTCGGCGCATTCCTGCTGGCTGTCCCTGCATTCCCACCTTCTTCGCTCCTTGCACTTACTCCTCTGCGACTTCTCCATCCGCTCTTTCCCCTTCTGCCCTCCGTCCCCTCCGTTGGCAGGGCCGACGCTTGCACTGCCGAGGAAGCTCGTCCGCTCACGGCGTCCAGAGGACCCTGATGACATGAACATGTGCTATTACCAGCTGGGAGTGGGGCTGGACATTCGACGCTCGCTTCGGGGACCTTCCTGGGTCCCACCGCACGGACCAGTTCGACTCCGGCTCGGCTCCGGGTCGACTCCAGCTCGACCCGAGTTTGGTTCAAGCCAGAGGACGTTCGACGCAGCATCGGCGCACGAGCGGAGCGCGCGGCTCCAGGAAGTCCACCAGCCGAGGCCTGGGGACAGGCCCGGATCGGAACTGGCCCGTGTCGCATCGGACCGAGGCGGAGGAGGAGGAGGAGGAGGAGGAGGAGGAGGAGGAGGAGGAGGAGGTCTTTGGGGAGCCTCTTGGGGCCTCCTTGCGGCTTTTTGGGGGCCTCTGAGGGCCTCTCGGGGGTCTCTTTGATGCCTCTACGGGTGCCTCTTGGGTGGGGGGCCTTTTTTGGTGGCCTCTGTGGGCTTCTTGGGGGTCTCTCTGCCTTCGGAAACCGTCTGGGAGCCTCACAGGGCCGTCTTGGAGGAGGAGGAGGAGGAGGCGAAGGAGAAGGAGGAGGAGGAGGAGGAGGAGGAGGAGGAGGAGGAGGCAAGACTGGCATCCAAAGCTGTCGTCTGGGAAGGGCCTGCAACGTCTGCTTCACGTTGCTCTCGTCGGCCCTAAAGATATTCTGGTGCGTCCATGCGCAGGCGCCCGCCGCCGCGGCCCCCCCTCCTCTTCGATCCTCCTCCTCCTCCTCCGCTTCCTCCGGCGGCGAGGGACCAGCCCCGTAGCAGAGATCTGAGAGACGGCGCGACCGAGGGGCGAACGGCGGATGACGGACGTCTGGGTCTCCCAAGTGAGGTCCGAGTAGGCGAGGTCGAAGGATCGCGTTGAGCGGGAGAGCCGATGTCTTCGGGAGCCTTTGGACGGGGGTCGATGTAAATGGGGGTCAGCCAGAGCGATGGATCTTGCAGGATCCTGCAAAGCCAGCGCTGCAATAACCCAGTTAGTGCGCAGTATCTTGCAGCATCCTGCAGGGTCCTCCAGAATCCTGCAAAGCCCGACGGACCTGGATTTGTATTGACCCAGGTCAGTAGAAGCCCGATAATTCACGTCCAGGCCTCAGGACGGAAGGTTTTCTTGTTGTGTTTGGCTCCCAGACGCACGCACACACACGCACACGCACATTCACACAACACTCAACACACACACACACACACGCACGCACGCACGCACGCACGCACACAGAGCCATACGCAGACACAGACACAGACACAGAGACATACACAGATACAGACACATCCAGACACACACACACACATAGACACTCAGACACACGCAGACACACAGACACACACGCACAAAGACACACTTTTGGCGTCGCAACCCTGCGCGGGACGAGAGTGCGGAGAAGGTCGTAACACAGCGAACGCGCGTGCGCGACTAGACACGCCCGAGCCCTCAGAGACCGCTTGGGGTCCCGCAGCGGCCAGCAGCCATAAGCCAAAAGGGCGTGGATGAGAGGGGGAGCGGTGGAAGGACGAGACTACGGTGCGGTGGAAAGTGTTATAAGCCATCTGGGACTGAACGGCGGGGGGAGCGAGTAAGCAGCGTGGAGCGACAATGAGACCAAGACCGACTTGGAGGCCCAGATGGGCGGGGGGACCAAGGCTGGCCAACGCCAGCAGAAGGGCACAAGTAGCGGAGGGGCAAGGAGGCCGCGACGGCCTGACAGCAGCCGGCGAGCAGCCGCAAAGGTCGCAGGCAGCAGGGCCGCGACAGCCGGCGGACCAGGCGGCGTACCGGAAACGGCGGCGGCCGAGAGGCAGGCCAGAAAGGCAGGGCTGGCGGAGAGGAGTGGGGAGCCCAGCCAGGGGGGCCGCAGGGCCTAGGGGCGCAGGGCGGCGACGGAAAGCGGGGGGCCAGAGAGAGGGCGCACAGGGCGGCGCAGGCCCAGGGACCTTGGGTCGTTGTGATTTGCCTGGCTGGTTGGTCAGGCTGTTGTGATTTGCCTGGCTGGTTGACGCACGCACACGGGCGGCCGACTTGAACAATCTACCCGCCACAATGGGGCATCAAGTTCCTGGGAGTGGCAGGAGCCCTGCGCACAGGGCCTCGCGGTACCGCCACCCGTAAAAGAGGCATCACCGCCATCTCGTGACCGTCTTTTACTGCCATCGCACCGCTGTCACGGCTCATCGAGGATGAGTGTGTGTGTATATATAGATATGTATATATATACATATATATATATATATATATGTTTTTATAATATATATATATATATGTACATCTCTCTCTCTCTCTCTCTCTATATATATATATATATCAGAGTAGGCCGGGGACGGGGACCTGGCCGCTGCCACCCTCCCCCCTGGGCGCCCCCCGGGGTCTTTGGGGGGTCGCAGGCCCCCCGGGACTGCCCCGGCCGCTTCCAAGTTGCCCACGACAGGCCACGCGGGCCGCACAGATGGTCAAGAAAGCTTCAGCAGGCCCCGAAGACGCCCAAGAGCGCCCCAAGAGGGCCCGAGGTGGCTTGAAGATGGCCGACGTGGGCCCCAAGAGGGCCACCAAGAGGCCCCCACGATGCCCAGTGAGGCCCGAGGAGGCCCCCAGGAAGCCCCAAGAAGCCCCAAGAGGCCTCCAGGTAATGCCCAAGAGGCCCCCCAACACACCCCAACAAATCATGTCCCCAGAAAGCCTTCCGGGGACATGCTTTGTCATGGGCCCGAGAGTCTCCGGAGGCTCCGCGCTGTACTGTCTGGGACGTTGTCTGGGAACATGACTGATCGTCTTCTCGTGGCCCTCGGCGGATCGTTTTGCACAAAGTTGCCCCAAGTGCCCTCTTGAACCGACGAAGCCGAAGACGACGACGACGAAACGACGAAGACGAGGACGATGACGACGACGGCACGCCCCAAGAGGCGACGACGACATTACGACGACGACGACGACGGCACGCCTCAACAGACCCCCCAAGACGCCCCCAAAACCCATGTTCCCAGAAGGCCTTCTGGGAACCCGATTCATCAGGCCTCCGCCCCCCTACGCAGCCATCTTCCCCACAAGCCTTCCGGAATGCGGATTGACATGCATGGATCTCTCACTGCCCATAATGCGTTCCGCGTTATGTGCGCTTCTTCACTTCCAGTTCAAACCATCCGTGGTCCATTACTTCAGTGGGGCAGTGAACTCGTCAAGGCCTGGGGCCTGCTAGAACCTGAGCGCGCGCGAAGCGCGTGCGCGCTGGTTTTAGTGTGTATATATATCACATAAATAGAATGATGGGGAGGGGGTCCCAGGGGCCCCGGAGTGCACTGATTCGTCTTCCGGCCGTTTTGGACCCGGCGGGGGTGCCAGAACGCGTCAGAGGAGGGGAAGGGGGGGCGACGAGAGGGCACGAGAGACGTCCAAAAGGGCGTCAAGATGGCCCAAGAGCGCTCCAAGAGAGCCCAAGACCGCACAGGAGCGTTTCCGAATTGGTCTAACTTGGCTTGAAGACAGCCCAAAGAGGGCTTCAAGACGGCCGAGATGCCCTCAAAAGAACTGCCACGAGGCACTCAGGGAGCGAAAAAGTAGGTTTGTTCGACGGCTTTTGAAGGTTTTTCGTGTTCTCGCTGTTTCGTGCTTCCGACGTTTCAAGACAGCCCACGAGACTCCAGAAATCAGCTCAAGACGGCCCAAAGAGGGCGCCACAAAGGTGCAAGAGAGTCCCAAAACGGTCCAAGAGTGCCCAAAGACGGCCCAAGAGGCGCCCAAGATCGTCCAAGAGGGCCCCAAAACGACCCCAAGAATTGGAAAACGAACCGACAATTCGAGCCTTCAACCCCAAGAGGCCCCCAGGAGGCCCAAGAGGCCCCCGAGAGGCCACCTAAAGGCCCCCTAGAGGCCCCCTAGAGGCCCCACGAGGCCCCAAAGGGGCCCAAAAAGAGGCCCCAAGAGCACCCCAAAGGCCCCCAAGAGGCCTCCAAAACATACCGGTGCATAGCAAACGTCCGCTTAGCCTACCGTGGAATCGCAGCGTTGCGTGACATGACATGGCACTGCACAGCAGGACAGCTAACCGTGTCAGTGCATATCACAGTATGGTTCAGCATGCCATAGCATTGCATTACAGAGCAGTGTCTAGCTGAGCCTAGCACTGCACGTCATGACGTAACATTGCCTAGCATGGCATTGCATCTCATGACGCATCGTCTCGTACTATGGCATTCCAATGCGCATCAATTAATCGGACAGCACCGCGCTGCTCTGCGCAACAGTAAACAGCAACCATGCAAATATCACACGCCCGTTGTTGTTATTACTATCGTCCTGTTTATTTTAGCCTAGCAGTTCATAACATTGCATAGCTTGACATTGCATTGTGTAGCCAGGCATGCCGTGTCTGCATACCATGTAGCGCGGCAACATCGCTATTCATAGGAAACATAGGATTCAGCGTATCATCCCATATATTATCATAGCGCTTCACAGCACAGCATGGCATGGCATGCAATGCGCACTTTAGAGTATATCATGTTATTGCATTGAGTGGTGCATCGTGACACTGCGCTTTATAGCGTAGCATGGTGTATCATGGCATTCCATAACATGGTGCAACATGGCGCTGTAGCGCTGCTTTTTGTCCTGGCCCATAGTTTGGCGACAGATCACCGGTCGATGACAGCAGTGGAGGAGGAATGAGGAAGAGGCAGGAGGAATCAGATATTGTTGACCTCATTATTCATGACAGTTTCGTTGTCTCAATGCGGTCAGCACTCGACCAGCTAGAACCTGAGAGTGCGCGAAGCGCGCGCGTAGGTTCTTGTATACATAGGTATTTATGTATATGTAGATGTGTGTATATAAATATATATCTATATTTATCTATTTGTATATGATATGCACGTACACCCTAAAAACACATGTAAACATGTACATTATGCTGCCCTCCATGCTCACCTTCCCTGCTGTCACCTCCTGCCTTCCCCTTGCTTCCTCTCGCCTCCCATCCTGCACCCATCCCCTCCCTCCATCGCTTACCCTTCCATCCTGTCCCAACCCATCCTATCCCATTCCATTATTCACATCATCCCATCCTTTTCCATCCGTTTCTTTACCATCCTGTCCGATTGTTCGCAGTCCTAATTCACCCTTTGTCACCCTTCACCAGCTTCCCGTGTGGTGTGGATAACTCTTGGCAACGCGCTGGGCCAACTCAGTAGTGGGACGCTCATAAGGCTGGTATGTTGTGAAGTGTCTCCACATCGCTGCCATGTTGTTTGCGCGCGCTGCTTCGCATTTCTGTGTGATGCAACGTAGCAGCCGCAGTTTTCATCGTGGCCAGCCTGCTTGTCAACCTTCCTACATCCGCCTGATGTGTGGATTTCAATTTGCCAATGTAGCCTAAACCTTTTCCTCATCTTCGGTCCGTACTTCCTGTCGGCGGCGCGCCCAGGGGGGACATGAAATGGCGCAGGCCTTCTCAGAAGGTGGCGGGGCGTTTGAGATGCCCTCGCGCCAACCGTGTATGTGTTTGGAGAAGGCGTAGGAAGCTTCTCAGAAGGCTCGAGGCCTTCTAAGCCGTCTGAGAAGGCCCGCCTCCTCTATCCATGGGCTCGCCGCCGATATTGGTGAGCTCTTGCCACCACCTTTCAGCGCCCCTCTCTTTTATAAACCTTGCATTTCCGCTCTCTCGCTCCTCTCCTCGACGAGGTGCTCATCGCTGCCGCGAAGGAGGACCTCTCTATTTGTCTCCATCTTGCTGCTGTCTGCGCCATTTTTTGGTCCTGCATTCTGAGTCAGACGC